AGTTCTCATCTCAGCATGTGGGGTGCCTTGGACAGCATCGACAACTCTGTTCTTAGCTTCAGTTATTGTGATTGATGGACCAGGTTCCTCCCCATCTATTGGAGATATAGTTGCACCATCCTCTTTGATTCCTTGACATGGCTCATCATATCAGCCTTTCCATTTTCCATGTCAATGACTTCACCAGGAACAATTGAGTGTTCTCCATCTTGATCACTCTTATCATGTGATCTTTCCCACATGAGTGGTGAGATTCATCAAAGATCACATGAATACTTTCCTCAACACATTGAGTTCTTTTTTATTTACTTTGTAGGCTTTCCTTTGTGACGATTAGCCCAGAAAGATTCCTTCGTCATTTTTGGCATCGAATTTTCCAAGTGATTCCTTGCCATTGTTGAGGATAAAACATTTGCAGCCAAATGTCCTTAAATGTGTCAGCTTGGGCTTTCTCCCGTTAAACAGTTCATATAGGGATTTGTTCAGAAAGGACCTGATCACGCACCTGTTCACCAAGTAGCATGCAGTGTTGATAGCTTCTGCCCAGAAACTTTTTGCAATGTCACTGTCAATCAACATTGTTCTTTCCATGTCTTCGAGAGTCCTATTCTTCCTCTCCACAACACCATTTTGTTGAGGTGTTCTTGGAGCTGAAATATTATGAGTAATGCCATTTTCTACACAGAATTCGTCGAATTGGGCATTGTCAAATTCTGTGCCATGATCATACCTGATACATACTACATTATGGCTCATCTTCACCTGGATCTTCTTTACAAATGCAGCAAATACTTGAAAAGTTTCATCCTTGGTTATGAGAAATAGAGTCCAGGTGAATTTGGAATAGTCGTCCACTATAACAAAGATGTACTTCTTTCCTCCTCTACTTGTCACCCTCATAGGTCCACATAGATCCATATGGAGGAGATCAAGTGGCTTTGAGATACTAACTTCCCTGTTGGGCTTGAAAGAGGATCTGACTTTTCCTTTTACACATGCATCACACACCTTGTGATCCTTGAAGCTTGACTTGGGCAGGCTACGAACCAGGTCCTTCTTGACCAATATGTTCAGCAACGTAAAACTTGCATGACCCAGTCTTCTGTGCCATAGTTCAGCATCATCATCAATAACACTCAAACAGCTGATATCCCCATTTTGCAAGGATTCAAAGTCAGAAACATAGATATTTTTGTATCTTTTAGCCACCAAAACCACTTCACCAGTCACAAGATTTGTGACCCTGCATATTTTTGACACAAATTCCACTTTGTTTCCCTTGTCACAGATTTGGGAAACACTCAGCAAGCTGTACTTCAATCCGTTAGTACACATTTTTAATTGAGTGAGAGAGAGAACTCCGAGTACTTCCAACTCCTAGAATGTATCCCTTTTTGCCATTCCCAAAGGACACACTCCCTGCTCGCAGGGCCTTGAGTGAAAGGAAATCATTTGTACTTCCAGTCATGTGTTTGAGCAGCCACTATCCATTTACCATTATTGGTTGCTCCCTTTCACTGCTCCCCGCACAAGAAAATCAAGGGTTAGACTAAGGAACCCAAACAAGTTTGGGTCCCTTGTAGTGAGGAAAGGGTGAATCAGGACTCTTTTGGTCCAGGCAGGCATCACATGTTTTTTTGCAAAAGCTTTATTTTTCAAAAACTTTATTTTGCTGTTGAGACTGCAATTTGGCCTTACACGTTTCCTTAAAGAGTCCAGTGTTACCATAGTGAGTGCATAGCCAGTTATCAGGTATAGTAACGTTCTAGTTATGAGGGTTGTAAGGGGTATTTTCCCTTTGGAACCCGATTCCCTTCCCAGTTTCCCCATTGTTCGTATACATGAAAGTGATAGCATCAGAGGACCAGGTCCACTTATGTGATTTTTCAAGATCACTCTTAACTCTTCCTAGATCTTCTTGAAGTTGTTTGTTTTTCTCAAGTTCAGCACACAGACTAGATTTCACTTATTTTAGCTCATCTTCAAGCCTAAGATGTGCCTTATTTGCAACTTCCTTTCCCTTTCGCATAATCTCATGCCTACCTTCTCCTTTTAGTTCCTCAATTGTTTCCTTTAGGTCCGCAACTACTACTAATAAGTCATCTCTCTCATGCTCTATGTTAGCAATCTTTTCAGTTAAAGCTTCTTTCTCTATCTTAAAACACTCAATGGTCTCTTTTAGATCGACCACAACAACCACTAGATCATCTCTCTCATGTTCTACGTTTGTAATTTTTTCTGTTAAGGCATCTTTTTCCTTCTTCAAACTCTCAATGGTTACTTTTAAATCGATCACAACAACTACTAGATCATCTCTCTCATGTTCTACTTCTCCTAGTTCCACAGTTAATACATTTTTATCATTTATAAGACTATGATAAGCATCAATTAAAACATTTGCCGAAGACATAAGTTTTTTCGAAGAGTAAGACTTCATATTTCTTTGAACATCTAGAAAGTTTACCTCATCATCGTCAGATTTTGCCATCAGGGCAAATATATAGTCATATTCTGCTACTTCATTTTCTACTGCCATCATGGAGCTGTCACCTTGATCATCATCCTCTCCAGATTCGTTGGAAGAGTCTCCCTATGCAGCAAGAGCTTATTTCACAACGTTGTCAGCGACATCTTTTTCTTGAATCGTTTGTCAGGAATCGGGTTCCTCTTAGCTGCTTTGTCTGTGTTGTACTTGTACTGATCTTGCTTGAGAAGAGGGCAATCCTTGATGAAGTGTCCTGACTTACCGCACTTATGGCATATGTCAAAGCCTTTTGGCTTGCTGGAGCTGCCCCTTTTTGGAATACCTCCATTTCTGCGAACCATTTTCTGAAATCTTTTTGTCAGGTAAGCCATATTAGCATCCTCACCACCTGAGTCATTGTTGTCTGCCTTGAGGAACAGGTACTTCTCCCTTTTGGGCTCTCTTATCTCATTATCCTTCTTCTTCTTCTCCTTTTTTTTCTTCATTTCACAAGTCTTCAAATTGCCAATGAGTTCATCAATGGTCAGCTTCTGCAGATCCTTTGCCTCCGTAATAGCATTTACTTAGCTTTCCTAGGAAACCAGATAATACACTAAGTATTTTCCTGAAAACTTTGTTCCTGGGGATGATTTCTCCCAGAGAGTGAAGCTCATTGATGATAGAGGTGAAGCGAGTGTGCACATCCTGAATGGACTCATCATCTTTCATTTTGAAGAGCTCATACTCTGTGGTTAGCATGTCAATCTTCGACTGCTTGACTTGTGTTGTCCCTTCATGAGCTGTTTGGAGAGCTTCCCAGATCTCCTTAGCAGATTGACATGCTGAAATACTATTGTATTCATCTGGTCCAACACCACAAACGAGGATTTATTTTGTTCGAAAGTTCTTCTCTATAACCTTGCGGTCAGCATCTTGTATTCCTTTCTTGATTTGGGAACTGTCACTACTGGGTCACCTATACTCTTCGTAGGAATGAAGGGTCCATCGCAAATGACATCTCAGAGCTCTGAATCTTCAGCCATGATAAAATCATGCATCCTTGTCTTCTACCATCCATAGTATTGGCCGTTGAATCTTGGTGGTCTGTAGGTCGATTGACCTTCTTCAAAGTTTGGTGGAGCAGCTATAAGGATCCTTTCTAGGTGTTACCCTGATAGAAAGAACTCGCACTAATACCAATTGATAGAAATTAAGGGTGCACCACTATATAGAGAATCGGGTTTTATTAGTTCCCATAGAACACACACACACTGCAGTAAGTAAATGACACAATGGAGTTTTAGGTGGAAAGCTCCAAGCTCACGGGATTAAACCACGACCTACCCTTGTAGGATTTCAACTTCACTACTAAGCAAACTTCAGATTACAACCTATTGTAACCTAGGAACTAACTTCTTTATCCCTCACTATCTTGTAATAACTCTATTACAAGTCCCTTTGTAATAACTCTATTATAAAGCTTACAACTCGACTAACTCTAGCCAACGCACAAACACAAGGTTTATGATTTTACAAATGTTTCCTACTCAATGTTTCTGACTAAGCTATGTAGGAATTAAAAGTAAAGTACTTTAACAAAGGTGCAACACAACTAAGGACATGTAATGACTCAATACAGGGAACTAGTCCTTTGTTATGTCGTTCTTTGTTCTAGATGCCCTTGAGAATCAATGACACAATGAAGGCTTGATTGATTCTTGAATGTTTGAATGTAATGTTTTGCCTTTGCTTCAATGTTAATATTACATAGATGACATCACTTGAATGACGCAAGAATGTTTGATACAAGGGCATTCCCCATAAAGTTGAGTGTTGCACTGTTTGTACAGTTGCGTGTGCAGGCAGCAACTTTACAGCTGTTGGGGGTTGAATGGTACAGTCACCAAGGGAATTGGTGCCCATCTATTCCCTCTGTTGTTTCTACGACTCTGAAGGGTTGAACCACGTCCCCAGCTTGAGACTTGTTATTCTTAGGTACTTGAGGATGTGTAACATGTTACTCACCTAGTTCTTATCATTAAGTTTGTTAGATCATCAAAACATAACAAGGATGCATATAACCTATCACATTGTTATCCGGAGAAGTTTGAAAACTTAAAGAAAGAATACAAAGGTTTGAAAGAACGAGTTTGAAGGATGAAGAACAGAGTATGAAGATTTGAAGGAAATCTAGATAAACCTATGAACAACTATGAGAAACTGAAGATCAAGGATGAAGATATGAATGTTTGTAGAAGGTTGATAATAGCGAAGGAATTTGGAGGTAGAAGCTTGTTTAGAAAGTAGGAAAGGAATAGGGGATTGAAGCTTTTATAGGGGAGGATCGCGTCGCCTCGCATTGGAAGGTAACCAGCTGATGGTTGACACATGTCCAAAGTCAGAACGACGCAATTGATGGGACATTTCGACTTCTTCGTTTCGACCGTAACGTACAGAGGAAGGTACCAGAGAATATCTATCATTTCTTATTGCTTCGGAAAACCTACTCTCTACAAAACGAGAGAACTATCTGTATATGGGTAAAATCGAGGCTAAGGAGCACTCCGATTTCCCGGTGGGAGAAATGAAGCGCTTCGATGTAACTACAAAGAATCAAAATCAAAGCTGGAAACTTCCTGTATCAAGGTCCGAACAAAGCACCTGCCCCCGAATCTTTCGAGACCATGCCCCCCGACCCGAACGGAATAACGAGACCCGGCACTGCCAAACATTCGCACTCGATTAACAAAGGGCCGTGGTATGCGCGCCCAACTGGATATCACAGGGTGTATCTCGGCCCGTATCACCACTTACACGTTATAACACGCATACCAAGGAAATATACATTTGTTTTCTCTACTTCTAAAAGTTATTCAAAGTTCTTGATTTTACTCATAGTTCTTCTATAACGACCAGGAATTCCCACCATCGAGACCGTGATGGCGCCTAACATCCCACTTGCTAGGCAAGCCAATGTTAGAGCATCATTAACCCAATTCCCTTACGTTTCAATGATTAAAAGTAAGCAAACTAAAACAAGTAGAAATAATTACGGAAGTAAGTAAATAAACTCTTTGTTTATGTACTATTACCGATATTGTTGCTATTACTACCCAGAATCCGGTGTCACAATCCATGAACACACTATGATTTCCTACAAACATCAGTCTGAAAGAAATTACAACTGTTTTGGAAATAAAGAAAACAATACTATAGAGATGTAGAAGAGGACGCCAGGGCCTGCGGACACCAACAGGACTATCTTGGGTCTCGAAACTGTGTAACCTGAAGCCAACCTCTCAATCAGCCACTATGATGGGTTTTACTTAACCTTATGCTTCTTGGGTTTTGATGATTTAACAAACTTGTTGTAATGAACCAGATAGAGAACCTGCTCTGTTTCATACACATCCCATATGAACTGATCGAAGCTTGAACATCAGCAATTGGATGAACGACCACATGGAGGAACATAACCGGGACCCGATGACCTTGTCCATTAGGGTTCTCCCAAAAAAGGAAAAGTCAGTGACTGTACATATTCAAGATAAAGAGAAACACAACAGGGATCTGCTACCTTGGGGTTCTCTAACAAAAGTACAGCTCAAAGTGCTCAACTGGAATGTAGCAGAAGAAAGCCATCAAGAAACTGTTACAGAAGAGGAACATAACTAGGACCTGGTTCGTTGGTATGTCCTAATAGAAGTATTAGACCAGGTTCATTGGTATGTCCCGACAGAAGCACAACGTCCAACTGGAACACACCTGTCCTGAAGTGGCTGTGCAGACAGTGCAGCAGTCACTTCCCACTGACAAGAAGTACACCAAGAGTTGACACCACTATCTATTGTGATATCTTTTGTGATAAAACAACCTGGTGCATGACATACTAACTTGTGCATTTCAGTGATACTCTCTAAAGAAGAAGAAACATCCATCTAGTATTGGAATTACCGGTTTGTCAAGGACAAGAAGACAACTCCACTAAGGATCAGTTTTTAAATGAAGTCTTATGTATATCCATAGTTGAGTTGTAATCTTGTTATTTGCTTTACATTGTAATTCCTACTTCGCTTTCTTAGAATCACTATTTTAGGAACAAACCAAATCCGTGAACTTTTGAGTTTGCATTGTGACTAGGAGTAGTCATAAGTTGAATCCTCTGTAACTAGGAGAGTTAGAGAGTGGCTTGTGGTGGTGCATCACAAGTTAGTTTGAAGTCTTTGCAAAAGGAAGTTTGCAAAGTGGCTTGTAATACGTAGATTACAAGTTAGTTGAGTTTAAAGCCTACCGGTGTAGGTCGTGGTTTTTTGATCCCCATGTGTGGGATTTTTCCACGTAGAAAAACCTCTGGCCTTCTTTACATTCAGTCTCTACTGCTTTCACGTATCAATCTCATAGAGGACCAGGTACTCTATTGTTTGGTGGACCCATATGAGCTATCAGAAAAGAGGGCAAAGAAAACCAAGCCTGGGCGTTACGAGGAAAAAAAAAAAACAATTTAAACCGCGCAAAATCTAGCTCAAAACAACCCGACATAGTTCTTTAATTTGAATATAGTTCGTTGTTAAATTTTAAAAAATCAAAAAACATTTGAATTTGATTTAGTATT